AGATTTGCAAACATTTATTTACATTCGTCCTTTCGCTATTACTTTACGTACACTTCATGAACAATTTTATCCGTGTCGCGAGCCTTTTGGCAATGCTTTCGCGAATTATTGAACGCTCGGATTTCGATAAGAAAGCGGACTGCGTAACGATATTCTCGCGATGGTCGTGTCGCGCGTGTGTGTGTGTGTGTGTGTGTACGCGCACGACGTGTTCAGTACGTCAAGACGCGTGTTTGCGTAGGACGCTCTTTGCATTCATGAATCATACCCCGCTGACTTCTTCTATCGCGAGGCGAGCGTGTCCGATGACTAGTTGTGACACGTTACTATTTATTCTGCGTCTGTGAAACGCGCTTCTGACTGATGAGAGATTGTCGCGCGTTTTTCAAGCGTAGTTGTGATTAGTACGCTGTCAATAAAGTCGGATTTCGCGAAACTCTCGGTGCGCGCTCGGTGTGTGACATGTAACACGCAATTTTTTTTCATATTTATTCTACATCGGACTTGCAATAAACGCAATGAGATTTTTTATTCAAAAATATTACGAAATTAAAAAATAATAATTATATATCGCGCAATTTCGAGAGAGATGACAAATGATTTTTTTTTTTTTTTGCAGAATTCGTTCGTCGCGCACCGTAAACTGCGTTTTCCCGAGCTAGATCGATTTTAATTAAATTTATTTCATTAAAAAGCTCTTTTCGTGAATTTTGAAGAGCTAATATAAATTCTACATACCGTAATTTTGTGCGGAGAGCAAAAAAAAATCACAACTACAGAAGCAAAGAAAAAATTTGGATTTGTGACGACAAATGAAATAAAAGATACGAATTCGAATCGTAATATTTCATGCACATTCAACTCTTTTTTATATGTGCATATTTGTTTTATTTTTTTATTAATATTCATGAAATTTTCAACTTTTGAAGTACACACACACACACCCACACACACACATACATAGCGAGCTTCGACGAGTACCGAATTTCCGGTGGTTTCACCGATCTGACGTTTTTTACGGGGGAAAGAGTTCCCCGGAAGACATCTCTCATTTTACCGGCAGCGGGCGGTGGACGGGCGAGTTCATAAAAAAGAACGACGTTGTCCACCCAACGGGATTAACGTTACGTGATGGTAGAGGTACGCGGGTGAATAATGAGAGCGGCTCATGCAAAAGCGATTAAACTCGTTTAGCTAAGAGCCGTCTGAGCGGATAATAAAATCGCGCGGGATCTAATTCGATGAGCGGTGCGTATGCGGTGACATCATTTCGTGACTCCACCTCTACGTCGGCCTCCGTCGTTGTGCACAGTATTAATGACGATACGCTCCCGTGGTCGCGGTCACTCGTAAACAGCGCCAACGCGACGACGATGATCAACGCGCGCGCGTTTCTGCGTTCCTCGACATAAAATGTCATCACGCGACAAGAACGGCGCGCATTCCCTTTAAAGTAATGGACTGACAACAACCTTCATTTTCTCGCGATTCCGTGATCATATAGTTCGTATTTATAGCAGTTTGTGTCGCGCGGACACGTAGTGTGTTTCAAAAACACAAGTAGGTGTCATTGGAGTCAAACGCATATAAGAAGATTGAGTCACGCCGACGCGCGTGTGCACTCGTATAAATTTTCCCCGTATTCCGTGTCGTCTTTAGTTTTATGTACGCCAATTGAAAGGAAAATAATATTGAGAGCTAATAATCTCGCATATAATCTCGCATATTTTTCGCGCGATATATTTAATCGTGGTAAATACAAAAAATAAAAAATTAAAAATTAAAATAAAAAACCAGAAAGAGGAGGGAAGGGAATTGCAGTTTCGCGTGAGCGCTTTTTAGAGTCCGAGGGATGTCTTTTGGAAATGTTTCAAGCGGCGAGAGATCGCGCTATATAAAAGTCGCTCTAGCTAGCGTATATGCGGGCTTAACGCGCGCGGCAAAATGCAATTCCGCACGTGTGCCAAGCGCTGCTCTTAACGCGCTGTGGATTTTAATAAAAAGAACAACCGCGAATGGGGAAAATTTCTCCTTGCGTAATTTGCCGAGTGGATCGATATATAAGAAGTTTATTCCGTGGTTATATCTATCCATCTTTTCAGAGTGTGTGCGCATAGGATAATATAAATTTTATTTCCACACACACACACGGTTGTTTTCAACAATCGCTTCTATATTTCATCATTTCAATGCTTTTTTTTTCCAAGTTATTGTTATTTATATGTTCTCGGTCGTTTAAAAATATTATCGTTACAATCGGAACATTGCGCGTATTTGCGCGGCAGAGGCGAAAACAGGCGAAAGTGCTGAAACGCCTCGCCGGTAAATCGTAAAAGGAACTCACGGCCGTAACCGGTCGCCCGCGATGATTACCGGTTGAAAATAGCGTGCCGAGGATGAAAATTACGTAAACGCGTCTGGGAGTGAATTAGACTGCGTGCTGCTGTCGGGAGCGAAAACGCGCGTCGCGACGTCGACGACGCTCGGCGTCTCCGAGTCTCCTAATCGCCGTTGATCTTCCATCACCGGAAAACCGAGAGAGCTTTTAGCAGAACACAGATTAAATTTCTACATATATTCTTTTTTGTGCATCCCGATCGCTGCTTTCGTCAGAATGAAATCAATTCTCCTTTTAGGAGAATATTTCTCTTACAGCTGCTTTTTTTTTTTTTTTCAATTTTTCATATTACACTTTCAATTGTTCAAATCACATTTTCAATACAAAGATAGGTAGCGTAAAGACGGCACGTAAAATATAAAGGATATAACGTGACGTATTTGAGATGCGGAAAGCATAGCCAAGCAAACATAGCTGATAAATCTGCGATTCGAAATAAAAAGAGGAATATTGTAGAGGGAGAGAAAGAGAGAGGGGGGGGAGAGAGGGAGGGAGGGATAGAGAGAAAGAGAGGGAAGGAGAGAGAAAAAGAATGATAGAGGGAAAGAGAGAGAGGGAAAGAGAGGCAAGTTACACTCTCAATCTACTAGAGGGCAACACGAATCGATTATTACTTTGCTAATGGCTCATTTTACTTAACGTTCGCTTTTCCATGGTGATCGGGGGAACCTAGCCTTTACACACACCTTGTGTCGAACCTCTTGCTTGCCTGCGCGCGGCGATAAAGTTCTCTTCCTATACGTCACTAGAGCTGACAACGGAAAATCATGAGGTCGTAACAGCGATAGTGAGAAACGGGAGTGGTGTTTCGGTTGTTGGTTTTCTTTGAACTCAAATCAAGTTTTGTGAACTGGTTACAAGAAGATTATTAAAAGGTAAACGCGCCTTTTCTTCTTCTTCTTCTTCTTCTCTCTCTTTCTCTGTGTGTGTGTGTGTGTGTGTGTAAGTGTGTGTTTCTTTCCATCTATCTATCTGTTCGACGCGCGCCGTTATTTTTAAATCACCGTGTTTGTATTCTTATCGAGCGAGCACGAGAGCGTGCGACTGACAAATCCGCTCCTCTATCGACGTTATTTCTTTTTCGTTCGTTGTGTAATTCGCGCCGCCCCTGGTTTTTCACCCTCTTTTTTCCACGCGAATTTCTGATGCCGTCGTCAATCGAACGGCGAAAGAGATGAGGGAGGAGAAAGAGAGAAGGAGCGAAGCTCCTCCGTTCGTCCGGCATGCATAACCTCAATCTCGAAGTAAACGCTCCGATTCTCGCGCTCTTTGACAGAAAAACGGGAGGGAATATTCTCGCTCGAATATTTATCTTCGAGAATGAACCGATCGCGCGAATACGTTACCTCATTTTCGTCGATAGTCGTGGCTTCCCGTGATAACCGGACGGCGTCCGTTCCGGGGTTCGCCGGGTTAAAGGAGTTTGACATTTAACGCGAAGCGCCGCGGTAGGTCGGCGTGATGTGTGTGGTAGGGACCAGCAGCGCGATGTTGCTCCTTTCGACGTCGCCGCACACTCCTCCCGGAATCAATAATCGCGTTGCATAAGCGACGAGAGCGTCCGCCGCGAATAAACCGCGTGCCATCGTCGTCGTCGTCGTCGTCGTCGTCGTCGTTGTCGTCGTCGTCGACGTCGTCATCGCCCGTTATTGTCGATTATTCGTTTCGTTTCGTGATACGCGCGACCCCGCGTATCGATTACCGTTCCACGTTTCGATTCCGGAGCCCCGCGCCGATCGAGGAGCTGTCGCTTCTTTCCTGCACGCACACACACGCAACACACACGTACACACATGGTTGACGTGTAGGTAGAGAGCGAGATGTTCCTCTACGTACCTTGCTATGGTAGATCTGTCCACTTCAAAACCCTTCACGACCTGTGTGCTGATACGATCCGTAGTCGGTAATTTTCCTTTGCTAGCAGATCACGCGATATGCGACATGTGCGCGTTTACTTTAACACGTTTGTGGAGAAAGTAGAGATGCTCTAAAATGATGATTTTGACAGGAATTATAAATGCGAGAGTACGATAAGTTCCGTTTATGGAAAATTAATATTATTCGATGTGGTGATATGTTGTTGTTGTTTTTTTTTTTTTTTTTAACGAACAGTCGAGTCTAAATGTGACTTGTTTTATTTAAGTTACGGTACGGGGCAATGGGGGAGGAGGGTTTATGGTGTGTCTGTGGTGTGTTTGTTGTGCAACTTCAACTTCGACTGCGTGTGAGTTTTTTGACACGTTGAGTTTAGGTTAGATTTTATGGTGAACCCAACCTGACCCGAAATCACAACCCAACTTCACCTCTAATTCTAATCTAACCCAACCATTATTTTTAAAATGAAGAATTCACGCACACGTTATAAGTGATTTCTAATTATGTAATTAAAATAAGGCAAATTGATTTTTTTTTTTTTTTCAATCAGAGTTGTTTTGAATATTTGTGTCTTTTTTTTTTTTATTCAAGTGCAAGCAGTGACCGATTTTTCTCAAAATCAAGTTTCAAGTTTATTTCAGCATTTTTTAAACATATATTTAAAACAATAATTTTTAGTGTTTTACAACTGGAATTACATGGAAACATTTTTATGTTATGTTTACAGCCGTTGATTCTCTATACGCTCTGTGGCACGAGCTGTGGTAGCCTCGCCGAAGTTTAACAGCCAGTGGCTTCGGCCAACGGAGGCAATTGAGATATCATGGCGACGATAGACGGCCGGCCGGCCCAATATGGTATCACGCTTAAGCAACTCCGCGAGCTTATGGAGCTCCGGGGACGCGAAGGTGTCAACAAAGTCAACACCTACGGTGGTGTGCAGGAGATATGTAAAAAGTTATATACATCACCCAATGAAGGTAAAATTGTTGGTGTCTTTCTGCTGAGCGGTGTAAGATTTATCGTTTAGATAATAAGTGAAGCACATAATTATGATTCTTATCATTCTTGTAGGTCTTAGTGGGTCAACAGCAGACATACAACACAGGAGAGATACATTTGGTTCCAATATGATACCTCCAAAACCTTCAAAAACATTTTTGCGTTTAGTATGGGAAGCGTTACAAGATATGACATTACTCATCTTAGAAGTAGCAGCATTCATTTCATTGTGTCTTAGCTTTTATCATGCCAGTACGCATACAAGTAGCAAAAAATTCGATAATTCTTCTTTCGTTGAACGTAAGTATTTGCGATCAATTTTCTAACGTAGATAAAGTAAGCAAAAGAAAGAAATGAATATGATATTAATTTTGTGTTTTTCAAGAAATGTGTGAAAAAAAAAGTTGTTCCTTTTCAGAAGATGTAGTAGAGGAGGAGGACGAGTCAAAATATGATTGGATTGAAGGACTTGCTATATTGATTTCTGTAATTGTGGTAGTCTTAGTGACGGCGTTTAACGACTATTCCAAGGAAAGACAGTTTAGAGGTCTTCAAAGTCGGATAGAGGGAGAACACAAATTCTCGGTTATACGGCAAGGAGAAGTGAAACAAGTCATCGTATCGGAAATTGTCGTCGGTGACATTTGTCAGGTATATAGTCAGACGCGTTTGGTTTTCTTTTTTTTTTATAATAAAAATTCATATTAATCTTTCGCGAGTTGCTGAACGTACTATGTAGAAAAAAAAGCAAACTTTATACATTAAATTAGCTGTTTGACAATATAGATAAAATATGGAGACCTGTTGCCTGCGGACGGTATTCTTATACAAAGCAATGATCTCAAAGTGGATGAATCTAGTTTGACCGGAGAGTCAGATCACGTAAAGAAAGGAGAATCGTTCGATCCTATGATACTTTCAGGTGAGAATCTCGGGGCAATAATAAAAAATTCGTAATACTTTATGTACTCCGAATTATTTCTCGCGCAAGTAGAAGTTTCGAAACTTTTTTGAAGAAGTTTTGAAGAAGTTTTTCGGCACGAGAAACTATTGTGAAAAACATGCCGTGTTTTTGAAAAGGTACACATGTGATGGAAGGTTCCGGAAAAATGTTAGTTACTGCAGTAGGTGTTAACTCTCAGGCGGGTATTATCTTTACTTTACTCGGCGCTGCTGTTGATCAACAAGAACAAGAGATCAAGAAGATGAAGAAAGGTACGTGTAATCGTGACTGCCGATTTCGTATGATCGATTACTCTGGATGATCACATTCTTTTTTATACAAAGAGGTTACTAAATTCTTGGAGTAACAATTCTTGAAGTAACAATTCTTGGAGAGTTCAATCTTTAGAAATAATATAGAAATATACACATATAAGCGTTAGAGTTGTGTTTTTCGCGACATTTGACTTTAAGTTTTTTTTTTCTTTTTTTTTTAATCTATATGTATATATCTCTCATATTATTTTTTATCAAATCTGTCTGCTCTAATGATTTAGTATACCTGTCTTTACTGGCAACTTCTGAATTGTTTAGTGAATTATTTAGCGAACTTCTTGAAAGTTCTCTATCGAAAAGCCGATACATGAATTCGTTACGGTGCGCTTATAGTTCGAGTAGCAAGTAGAAACTTGTACGAACTTGCCTCCAATGAAGTTGTTGGTACACTATCATATCCTCGCATGATATTTACGAGATGTTTCAAAATGAGTGTAGACGAATCGCAGTGGACGCATGGTTTTGACGTGAATTGGTGTGATCAGTTTTTTATTATGAATTTCACAACAGCCAGTTTTCTTTCGTCCTCCCCCCTTCGTTTTCTACCATTGATATTGCATTTGCAACACCCATTTGATTTTGTATTTTGTATTAACTCATTAACTAATTGGTTGATTAATTGTTTTAACGTTTTCAAAAACAAACTTTTACGTATACTTTAACAAAGTTTTTATTTTCAAAAAGTGTATAATATTTGTATACTCTTTTTAAAAAATGTGTAATTTTATATACACGAAACTGCCACAGTACAGCAGTATGAGTTTATGACAATTCCTTTATTAATAAAACAAAAAACTTTTTTAAGTGCTTATTCTCACTTTTTTACACTGAACGTAGTAGATCAGGGTAGTCGAAAATTGCACTTACCCTTTTTACTGTGGACAATCGCCCGTTCTTCTCGCGAGCTTAAAAGTCTTCGTATAACGCGAAAGAAATGCGGTACAATTTGTGATTGTAGATGAGCAACCCTTTATTCAATATTATTCTCTACGATAGAATTTAATGTAAATATATTATACATATTTTCACAAATTATATAGATAGTACAATAGTATTTATCCGAAATATATTCCCATTAAGGAATGGTGATTGCGTTAATTTTGCCGAATTACATATTAGTTTGTGCCATTATTAAGAATAAAAAAATCCTATTATCGATCTCCGTTTTCTTTCGAGATATTATTTGATTACATCACTTATTCTTGTAAATCATCTGTGGTCCGTCCTTTTTTACATAGCTATAAATGTTTATGCTGTATAATGTTTTTTATCTTTGTCTGATATGTGTATACAAAATTTTACATTTGACAAGTCCAAAATTGATCAACTTGTTATTGTTTTATATATATTTATATACATATATAATATATCCCCCGAAATTATTTGTACAGAAAGTCTTAAAAGTCGCATACTTTTCAAGTTTAAGTACGAGACATTTATTATTTGCGACAGAGAAAAAAAAGTCAAAATTGTTTTATCTAAAAATACAACGTTAATATTATTAACTGTCTTTTTTTTTCGATTTTTAATTGTTTGAAAAAAAGAATGTTACTTTTAAGACATTTTTCTAGAAAAAAAAAACGAACATAAGTATCGTATAATTGTTCTGTTTGACGATCCATGCTCCTCTGTATGTCTTTCGTTATTGCACAACCTGGAAGGTAAAAACGTATTTCTTCTGACATGTTATCTCCAAGAGAATGCACTTTCGTATACACTTTTTTTATACAATTATATACACTAGTGAGAATTTGTCCATCTATCATATAGAAGCAATAGCAATTTATAGTTCTTTATGTTTGACCTTCTGGGATGTATCTACCTCATTTGTTAGTTTTAAGTACACGTTTGCGGAAAATTAACGAGACAAGCGAGAAAAAAAAAACAAAAGTTAGAAAATGTAAACACTTTTACTGGCGCGCGAGATTTGTATATTTTCAGATAGATTGCTATATATTTTTAGATAGATTGCTAATCAATTTCGTTTTGCATGTATTTTTTTATCTAGAGGCTAAAAAGCAGCGGAAGAAGAAATCATTACCAGGTGAATAATTCTAAATATAATATATTTATATATATATATATATATTTATATCTTATTCATATCTTATCTCTCGATATATATATATATACGTACACACATATTGCAGTTAAGGAGTTGATTGACCGTTTTTTTTTTTTTTTTCTTTCAATCAATTCGATTCTCAGAAAACAGCATTCAATTCTTTATCTCTTCATTTTCCTTATTTCTCTGTATTGTTCACATTTTTTCTCTGTTATCATTTCGATTACTTATATTTGCGAACTTTCTACCACTAATGCCTAATGTACATTTGAGGAAATATTTGTTATCGTACTGGTTTTGGGTTATTAAAGTTAGTTTTTCTTCCCTTTTTTTGTTTTGTTTTATACAAAAGTATGTTAAACTCGGATCTTGATATAGCGTATCTTTAAGCGCGTCTTAAATAACTTTAATTCGAAAACTAACTTTAATTTGTGAACTTTCAAGCGAAATATGGCGGAGATGGATGCAAATTGTCACGCTTTTACTTAAGCGCTATATTCAAGCTCGAGTGTATTCAAGAGAAGATACAAGATTATTCACGCTTCTATGTTTTCTATTAATCTTTGCGTGTTTTTATTAGCAGTGGTTTTACGTGCATTTTTAAATCAGCGGCTTTTTCTCGTTCTTGCATAGCTTTCTTGTTTTCTGCATTTTAGTAATGAACAAACCTATGGTTTTTTAAAAATCTATGTTTCTAACGTGTAAACCGTTTGTGTCTTCTACCTAATGTTTGATCACTTTTCATTGAATTTTTGTCTATCCTTACCTCTCGAGTAGCATTCCGCATTTTATATATAGAATGCTTCTAAACGATCCTGTTACTTGTTCTCACTCGTTGGAAACGATCGAGACTCAATCGAAACGTTGTAAACAATGTGTTCGGTCAAAGTAAATAAATCGAATTATTAAAATGAACGCGAATGAATCGCGAAATTGGTTTCGCGCTTGGTGCCTCGATTGAGTCTCGATTGTGTGTATATTATGACGTAGCGCGGTCTAATACGACGTTGTAAATAAAGGAGACGAAGAGATCACCGGAAACAGTCACGCTGGTAAAGGTGCCGAGAATCATCAAGCGGTCGTGCCCGCGAGCGCTGCGGAAGGCAAGAAGGAGAAGAGTGTTCTACAAGCTAAGCTGACTAAACTCGCTATACAGATCGGTTATGTCGGCTCGACCGTCGCGATGCTCACCGTCTGCGTTCTTATCATACAGTTTTGCATACAAACCTTCGTGATCGAAGGCAAGTCGTGGCAAAATGAGTACGCTAACGAATTAGTGCGGCACCTGATCATCGGTGTCACTGTACTCGTAGTCGCCGTACCCGAGGGTCTTCCTCTAGCTGTCACCTTGTCGCTCGCTTATTCCGTCAAGGTAACTTAAGAAGATTTTCTGTCCCCTTTATACATTCCATCATCACGTTGTTAGAATAAACTTATTTATTTCTTTTCTGACGTGTTCGTTAAATTTGTTTTCTGTACAGAAAATGATGAAGGACAATAATCTGGTACGTCATTTGGATGCCTGCGAGACGATGGGTAATGCCACTTGCATTTGCTCGGACAAGACCGGTACCCTGACTACCAATCGCATGACCGCGGTGCAATCGTACATATGCGAAAAGCTATGGAAAACCACGCCGAATTACTCGGACATACCGAGCCAACTTGGCGAACTGATCGTACAGGGCATGTCGATCAATTCGGCGTACACTTCGCGAATCATGGAGTCTCAAGACCCCAGCGAATTGCCGACGCAGGTCGGCAACAAAACTGAATGTGCCTTACTTGGATTTGTGTTAGCCTTGGGCAAGAAATATCAAACCGTACGGGACGACTACCCTGAAGAAACCTTTACGCGGGTATATACGTTTAATAGTGTAAGGAAGAGCATGTCGACCGTCATTCCCAGAAAAGGCGGCGGATACAGGCTCTTCACCAAGGGCGCTTCCGAGATCATTATAAAGAAGTACGTCTAGCTTTGCTTGTTATGAACAATTTTTAATCACTTTTAATCACCAATTTGTTGTACAAAGAATAAAAGTTTATTTTTTTTTTTTTTTTTCAACTTGATCAAAAAAGAAATTGAAAAACTTGTTCGATATTGTTGCAGATGTGCCTTTATATATGGTCGCGAAGGGCATCTAGAGACATTTACCAGAGAGATGCAAGAGAATTTGGTTAAGACCGTGGTCGAACCCATGGCTTGCGATGGACTGCGTACCATCTGTGTGGCTTACCGTGATTTCGTTCCCGGCAAAGCCGAGATCAATCAAGTTCACATCGAAAACGAACCCAACTGGGACGACGAGGATAATCTCGTGAACAATCTTACTTGCCTGTGTATCATCGGTATCGAAGATCCAGTGCGTCCCGAAGTGCCAGAAGCGATCAAGCAATGTCAGAGAGCCGGCATCACCGTGCGCATGGTGACAGGTGACAACATAAACACCGCACGTTCGATCGCGCTCAAGTGCGGTATCTTGAAACCGAGCGACGATTTCCTTGTTCTTGAAGGCAAAGAGTTCAATCGTAGGATTCGAGACAGCAGTGGCGAGGTGCAACAACACCTGATAGACAAGGTGTGGCCAAAACTACGAGTACTAGCCAGATCATCGCCCACCGATAAGTACGTTCTAGTGAAGGGAATCATTGACAGCAAGTTGGAGGATAGTCGTGAAGTCGTTGCAGTAACAGGCGACGGTACGAACGATGGTCCGGCTCTGAAGAAGGCCGATGTAGGCTTCGCCATGGGCATCGCCGGTACAGACGTCGCTAAAGAGGCGTCCGACATTATACTCACGGACGATAACTTCAAATCGATCGTGAAGGCGGTTCTGTGGGGAAGAAACGTTTACGACAGCATCGCCAAGTTTCTTCAGTTTCAGCTTACCGTCAACGTTGTTGCGGTGATTTCCGCTTTCACCGGTGCTTGTGCTGTAAAAGACTCGCCGATCAAGGCGGTACAGATGTTGTGGGTAAACCTAATCATGGACACGTTAGCGTCTCTCGCCTTGTCCACCGAAATGCCTACGATCACGCTACTCCTACGTAGACCATACGGTCGCACAAAACCACTTATTTCCAGGACAATGATGAAAAATATTATTGGGCAGGCCTTTTATCAGTTGACTGTAATTTTTACGCTTCTTTTCGCGGGTGAGTATCTTTTCTCTTACGATTATTCAATCTATTTCGTCGAGTCGAGAGAATTATTCCTAAATTTCTCGACGAAATCGGCTGCTGCTGCAGGTGACCAGATGCTCAACATTGATTCGGGCCGCGGAGTGGCAGCGGCGGGCGGCGGACCCACGCAACATTATACCTTCATCTTCAACACCTTTGTCATGATGACTCTCTTCAACGAAATTAATTCCAGAAAAATTCACGGTGAACGCAATGTCTTCCAAGGGATGTTTTCCAACCCCATCTTCTATTTGATTTGGATCGGCACGTTTTTCTCGCAAGTATGTTACTACAAGTTTACTTTAACTGCCGTTTTTGTTTAATAGAACAATATTGACATACATGCAAAATAATTGTTCACAATTAGATTTTTTTTTTTTTAACAAATGAGTTTCTTTTATAAGTAGAATTGTGGTATTTTTTTTTCTTCAGGTGGTTATCATACAATACGGTAAAATGGCATTCAGCACCAAAGCGCTATCGCTCGACCAGTGGTTGTGGTGCCTGTTCTTCGGAATCGGTACGCTAATATGGGGCCAAGTAATTACGACTATTCCTACACGCCGAATTCCCAAAATTCTTTCGTAAGTTAAAATTACATACTCACAGACACGTACAAGTTTTTGTTTGATTTTTGAGCACAAAAGATCGAATAATTTGCAAAAAAAAAAAATTGAAATGTTTGCTCTCGCACTGTGCATTTTTTTTGTTTTTTTTTTAAAAACGTTTTTATAATAAAGAAAATATTTCAATGTCAATTACATTTATGTTTATTTTGTTTTAGTCGTGAAAATGTTAAACTCTCATGTGTACGTACATTGATTTCAAAGACAGATTGACGCGCGATTGATATATTATTGAAATTCTTATTTTCTTGTACAGTAAAAAGTAAACAGGTTTTTACTCGTAAACTAATAATTTTTTCAATTGCTCTAAGAATATCACGTCGAGTCAACGTTGTGCTCAAATCACAAAACGCTTAGCGTAGCCGATTTTATATTCTAACGAAATCACCATAGTTTACCATCACATGAATTAGCGCCTTAGTTTCGTCTCATTAGCAGTAGATGCCTTTGCATGTCGAACCTTTAAACTCTCTCGCGTGCTGATCAGTATATAAATATACTCTGTGGTGTGCATTTTATGTATGTGTATATATATATATATATAAGTGTATGGCACATATTTAGGCGGGTGGTTGTGTATATGTGCACCACAGGGTTTTTGTAATATTTATGTCAGTTCCCCGCCCCTATCTCTAAAAAAAAAAAAAAAAAAAAAAAATATGTCTCCCACTTGCAAGCTCGCGTGATTGTTTCGCTTTAATCCTTGATTGAAATTTTTGACGGACGAGTCCGTGAAGTGATCGCAACCAAATTGCTCTATCATCTGGGAGAAATTTCATTTTATTTAAACGGAAAAATTTCCAGAAAGGCGAGAGTTCGATCAAATGATAATGATCGCGCACGCTCAAGTGAATTCCCATCCCGGGTGTTTCCCTCGCTCCTCAAACCCTATACGTAACTTGGCCTTAATCGTTGCATGATTACAGCCATCTCTTCGAAATCTGCGTACTTGTTGTTGCGTGCGCGGTGCCGAGCGATCGGCGACGCACCGGACGTTGCGTTGTCGCGCGCGAACGGCTCGCACCGATTAAAACACATTCCCGACGTTTTAATGAACAATCTTCTGGTGCCCAACGAGGCGGATTAGAAAACGACGCGCGTAAGCGAGAGCTTACTTAGCTTTATTAATATAATTCACACTGATATTTTTTAACCGTTAATCCATTCCGATCGGGGTGTGACAAGCGATTCGAAACTATCGAGCGATCAACAACGCTTATTAACATCACTCTTAATTAACTTACTTTACGCGATTTTTTCCAACATTCTCTTTTCTCATTTTCTCGTTGTCCTCTCTCTTTCTCTCTGTGTTTTTATCTCCCTTTTTCTCTCATTATTATTATCCGTTCTTATTGTTTACATTTAACATCCTCTCTCTCCCTCATATTTCTTCCTTTTCCTATTCGTTGCACACACACACATCCATACACAACTGAAACCATATACGTTGTCACACTCATACATATAATACTTTTCTTACTCGTCTATACAAGTTTTTCTACGTTATCATCGAAATAAATTGCAAGCTCGGTGGGGCCAGCTTTCTGACGCTGTGAGCAGTTTTGTTATCAAGAATATAAACTTGCAAAAGGGCGTTTTAATTTATTTGGCTGCAGCACTGAAGTTTAAAAACCTACTGATTTTATACTTTCAACATTAACAGCCATGCACTTCCGTTTTTCTCTTTCTTTCTTTCTCTCTCTTTCTCTCTTTCTCTTTCTTTTTCCCTTCCTCTCTTTCTTTCTTTCTCTGTTCGCTGTCTCTCTCTCTCTCTCTCTTTCTCTCTTGAGACTAACAGCTCTTAATGCGCAAGAGAAGCACGATTGCAGGCTCGAATGCAGCCGCACGCGAGAAACTCGTCTCGCGTAACAAGAAAGAAAGAGGCGTACAAGCCCAGTTAATCTCGCGTCAAGTCGAGAATATACACACTTTTTGCGACTCTCTTTTTCTCTTTCTTTCTTTTATACGCGAGTCGAGCGCGCCACTAAAATGCTACACGAGCGGAAGGGTCAACCAGCCAAAGGTTACAGAAGTGTTCTCGCCGAGCTTTTACCACCGAGTATAGTACATATATCGCTTGTAATACAGTAACCTTGTAACACACCAGAACACTCTGTTCCCTTCCCCCACGCCCTGCAATTATATTCACGTGTTGGTAGTGTATGTGTGTATGCCGTTTCGTAGGTGAGCAAAAATTCCTTGATATTTCCTCGTGTATATATATATATATATATATATATATATATATATATATGTATATACACACGCACGCACATACACACGAGAGAATATGTATGTGTACTGTTGTGTTCTGTATCGCTAGAGAGAAGTAAAGTAAAAATCGATGACAAACACGTGGCTATCGATTGGTAAAAGAAACTGCAAGTAGATTAGAAAAATTACAAATAAGAGTAGATATTGTTATTTTTTCCAACTCTGAGACGCAACGCAATGATATATCTTTGACATTTTTAATCGTTTACTTATAAAATTTTATCAATTTTGTCAATTGTTGAAAACGATTAGAGTAATTGAATTTTTTGTATGCGTGAACTCGTGCGAAATCGACTTGACATATTGCTATCTCGTTTAACCGGAGAGCGGTTACCTATTTCTCTCCACGAGCTTGTGAGTTTGTGCATACAAGCTTATAAATAGCAAGCGACGCATCAGGCGACGCATAATCGTGCGACGATAGAGTTTGCGCTTGTGTGTTGCTTGACAGGTAAGGGTAAAATCGCACTTTGCTTTTATATATGTATCAAGGCAACGGACCTGACGAAAAAATTGACGATACGACACGAGAGAAAAAAGAAACGAAAGAATAAAAAAAAAACTGATGAAGCACACATACACATCGCGTGCGAAAAAAAAAACAAGCCAACGAAACGGAAATACAAGACACGTACAACACATTTCTGAGATATAAAACTTACGAGGTCTTTGTTTTTAATGAGTGAAAGATGCTTTCTTTATTTCATGCGAATTTCTTCACTAACACGGTATTCTCTTGTCGCGCGAGTTGCGAACCTGTATATGAGGAACAAAAAAAACTGCGAATCGGATAAAAATGCATGAGTCGACACTCGTCGGATGCGAAGAGACATTCGCATCTTATACAGAGTTCTTTGTCACCTCTCGCGCGCATAATTTTAAGCATTTTCTTCTCTTTCACACACTCGTTTTTTCCCCTCTATTTTTTCATTTCTTATATTTCTTCGCTTGTACATAGAAAACAGGAAGCAACCCCGGAAGAGACGAGCTTCGTCTAATGTCTCATGTTTTTTATCACATCAACATCTTTTCTATCATGGCACACGCGCACACACGCACACACACATTCCTGCTCATAAATTGCACTATCACGCATTCCCATGTAGCATTCGTTATAGCTCAAGTATATATACACGGAATATGCGGTAACAATAAGCCCGTTTAATAGGTAAATAAAAAATTGAATAATTTTTGAAGAAATGGTCTTATGTTTTTCAATAATATAAGTTTTCTTTTATTACAGAAACTCACTTGAACTGTATTTTTCGTATTATTTGAAATCAATTATTTCTTGATAACGATGTGACTTTCAAACAAAGTTTTTATTCAAGACTTGTCGAGAGACAAGAGTGAATTTATTTGATCTTTGTCATGTAAAAAAATTCTTATTGTCGAAACTCTCTCTCTCTCGTCTAATAATCCCATTTGTATCGCGTCTGACGCACAAACGGGCCTGTTTATATCGAACATATTCCGTTTCTCTTTATATCACACGACCCTCGGCTATACGCGTAATAATTCTCACACGCACACACCAGCCCAGCCTTCTTAATCCCATTTCGATTAGCTTTGTTATTACTCTCACCGTCATAATCACGCGTAGCGTTTGGCACGTCGTAGTAAATTAGGGATTCCGCTAAGGAGCGAGGGAAAAAACACGGAAAAAAAAAAATATATGGTGGTCGGGGCGTGCAGCACGTCGAGGAGAGAGAGCTGGCTGCGAAAAACACTTTTGCCGGCCACACGAAAGCGAAAAAAAAAAAACACCCCCGAAAAAGAACAGAGCGAAAGTATTAACTGGCGAAAAGAAACGGCGTATACCACACCAATTCTTTTTCCATACAGTTTTTCAAACAGGAAGAGTCCGAGTGAAAATGAAGAAATGGTTTCATGTTTTTTTCAAAAACAGATGGGGCCGCGGCCAGCCGGATGAAATCGGCGCGATCAATCTAGGAGACGAGAAATTCGACCCCGACTCGGATAAAAAGCCGCGCGCAGGACAAATTCTATGGATCCGTGGTCTAACACGGCTACAGACACAGGTAACTATCCCTATCTCTGTCTCTCTCTCTCTCTCTCTCTCTGTCTCTCTCTCTCTCTCTCTGTCTGTCTCTCTCTTACTTTTTCTCTCTCTCTTTTTTCTTTCTCTCATTCTCTCATTATCTCATCACTCAATTAAAAAAAAAAAAAAATATTCTCTCGTATATTCCTTTCTCACAAAAAGACAGAAATGAAAACTCTACAAAACTCGACCGCCGCCTCCGGATCCAGCATATTCGGGTGGCGAAACCACATGAAAAAAAAAAAAAAAATCACATTATATGGTCTTTCTCTACCGTCTTTTAGAGAGCATTTTTTTTTTCTTTCAATTTTTTTTTCTTTTTCTTTTATTATGCGCGCGTGACTGTCTAACGTTCGGATTTGCATCGAACGTACGCGCGTCTTTTTATTATTATTATTATTGTTATTGTTACTTTATTAATGTTACTATTATCATGACTGCCGTGTTAGAAGTTTGTAAACAAATATCTAAAAATGCATTATACACTTACTGATACTATTACCACGACGACGACAATAACCAGGCAGCTGAATTTCTGTTTTCGACGTTATATCTTGGTCTGCATTTTCATTTGAGTTCCATCCGTTTTATGGCGCACATAATCGCGCGCTCGCGTCTTTCCGATTCCGGGGAAAACCGCGTCGACAAGAAAAAAAAAAAAAGTGCCTTAACAGCGTCTAAGTCCGAAGTGTTCGTCTAAGTCAAGGTTGTGTCCACTTTATCGCGCACCTAAATCGTACTCCTCTCGCTGCGACGCAACGAGAGGCTTCGGTCAGCTGGTTTCAAGAACGATTGCCCCGCAGCGAAGAGGGTGACTGAGATTTGGGATTGCCACACGTTCATGTGCCACGTTCATGGGGACAACCTTGCGACACAGACCGATCGCTGACTTGTCGACGATAGCTCGACTGAGAGAGCGCGCAGAAGACTATCGCTGAAGGATGAGCGGAAAGCCACCGCAAAATTCCTCTCGCGCAAGATACGAGAAACAAAAAAAAAATGGTACACTCGTTGCTCTCTCTTTCAGGAATTTCTCTACCTGACGTATTTTTCTGTCAATTAGGTGTGTGCACGTGTGTACACGCACGTGCGCGCATGTACTCGTATATATGTATATATACGTGTATATATTTTATATAGGCATATATAGACACAAGGCAAACCCAGTCCGTGTAAGTCTTTCGCCGAATAAAAGAAACTAGGTTTGATCAATTTGTTAGGTCGTTATTTCAGGCAGGGACGATATAAATCGCGAGCCGATCGGTCGATCGGCCGCGCGGACAGGACGACAGGACCGAAAAGTAGAGAAAAAAAAAAAACGACAGAAACGATGTTACACGCGATTGAAACGATTTTTATCTAACTTCGCGTATGACTCGACCAGCGTCACTGATCGCGACACGCACGACTCTTCGACGAGAACGACGCACTAAATAGGTTGACGCACACACAATTACACACTTAGAGACTCCCATCGTAGTGGACGCACAAACATTAGTGCTTGCCTATTCCTCTTTATTCGCGAGTGCCGGAGGTATGGGAGAAGTAGTCGAGGTAATTCTCGAGTACACGAAAATTAATTACTGCAAGATGTACACGAGAAATCAGGAATCTCTTCTAATTTGCAATGTTTTTATAAAAAAAAAGTTCTAAACGTTACATAATTATGCAAAAAAAGTATTGATTTAATATAAATTAAAAAAATTTGTTTTTGACTTAATATATTACATAATGTAAAAAAAAACACAAAATTTAATATAATAAGTCGAAAACAGATTAATTCTATATTTAACATAGATAATTTCCAATTGGTTGTATTTAATATAATAATTAGATTTAAATAATTTAAATAATTTAATCAAACAGCAGTATTATATATATTTTATATAATATTGATTTTATTTCTCTTATCTTTGTTTGTCTTTGATGCGCATTGAAGTAAAATACGATTAATCTGCAAATGACGCAAATCAAAGTGAAGATTACATTATTAGAGTTTGAGATTCGCGAGTTTGTGTTCCGACTATCTCAATTACAATAATGACTCTCTCCCTTGCCTTTGTTTTACAAACGATCACGAGTATCGCACACATGATCAGTGCGTAGGAAGAACTACTACAGCGTTACCTGTTGGTTTGAGTTACATATATATATATATATGTATATATGTATTACTTTTCCATCTCGTACAAAGCTTGCATCCACACGTTGTTAAAGAAAAGCCTCTTCCACAAATAGCCAGAACCAATTAAGTAGTGGTCCACGCAGTCCTCAGCCAATCTCTTTTCTCTTGTTATCTGTGATTCTCTCTTTCTCTTTGCCTCAGTCTTTCTTCCCCCTTCCCCAACCATCTCACTCGATCTTTTTTAGTATATATTTCTCCCTTCATGGTTCTACACCTCTGTTGAGTTCTCGTGAGATTTCACGTCAAACGTTTTTCTTCCCCTTCTGAAGTTCACCGAAAGAAACCCCTTAAGTGTGCATTACTCTTCTCCGAGCTCGTTTGTCGATGTTTACATTCCGCCGATCGATGAGCTCAGATATCATATTCCCTCCGGAGAAGTTCTCTCTTATCGCAAATTGCAAGTCGTGAAATATAACTGTTGAAATATAACCGTTCGTGAAGTAATATAATACCCGTTTTTAGATATATATATATATGTCTCCGAAGAGAGTGAAGTTAAGCAGAGGATGTGTTAAATCTGTGTGTTTTCTCATGTATAGCGCAATAACTTTCTTCGCTAAACTTTCCTTCACACATATATATATGTATATGTATATATATGTCTTTACACATTACCTCATTTGTGACTTTGCTCACTTGCTATTTCGAACAAAACTGTATTACTCGTACGTAACACCGCGGAAGTACGTGTGGGTCTCCTCCGCGTCTTTATACATACTTATCGTATATCTAAATCCGCCACTAACTCAGAACATAGATAATTAGCCGGTAAAACGAACTTTCGTTGTTACAATGTCGAACGCGCGTGAAAGATTCAACTACTTGTGCTTCAGCCGCTACTATTCTTTATCGATTTTACAGTTCAAGTGGAAGACCGCCGTCGAGAAGTTAAAGCGGATGGCGTCGAGTGATGATATACACACGTTCTCGCACAAATCGTGTTTTCATATTTATATGTTAAATCGCAGATTTTTTTTTTTTTTTTTTTTTTTTTTTTTATCATTCATATCATAATTTATATTAAACATACAGCGCACGTCTATCTGTTCAATTTTTTATGTTAATCGGATGATTAGCGTTCCAGGATTAATGATTGCGGTACGTTTCTCGTCGAAGAATCCCTAAACACCTGATAACACTCTAACGATGATTGTGCGCAGCGAATAATTGTAGTAATGTCAAAATCTATCTATCTATTTATCTGCCTCTTGTCTGTCTATCTGTCTGTCTATTTGTCTGTCTGTCTGTCTGTCTATCTATCTGTTCATCCATCACTTTGTCGGCTTAAGCTGTAGCGCGACGAAGAGAACGACATTGCTGGTTCGTTGCAGCTCTGGTACAGCCGGTCACGATGTGATAAAAGAAAACGGATGGACGAGTTGCACACACTACGTCACGTACAATAAATTCTAATTAAAATTCGTGATGACACATGTATTTTCTCTTTCTTTCTCTCTCTCTCTTCTCTCTTTCTCTCTGTCACATTTTCTCTCTTTTTTTTTTTTTTTTTTTTTTTTTTTTTTTTTTTATTTGTATTCCATATACGTAGCACTTCACATTCTCTACGTTCTTTTTTCCCACGTTTTGTTTTCTTTGTAACTTCGTGTCTGTCGTCTCGCACGAAAACAAGATCGATAAGTGTTTTCAATCACAAGAGGCACACGTTCACGTAAATGGTGTTTAGTAAAACCTATAAGACAAACAAGACAATATTGAACAGACAAATTAGGACAATAAAAAAAAACCAAAGAGAATATACACAAGAGAGACAAAACCTTTAGAAAAGAAAACCTACAAAAAATACAATAAATTTGAATGTTCTCACGTGAGCTAATAATATAAAACTGGATGTGTCACCTACTTTCAGACGAGCAATAGAACTCTGGTGCAGAATGTATCTGTGACAGGCAGATCCCCTTCTCAGGATTACTACATGGTTAGTCCGCAAGTCCACTATCATCCGCAAGTTTGATCATTGTTTGATCATTGTGTTAAAAATAATATACTTTTCATTAACACCGCTCCTCTTCTATATTTATCTATATACGTTTCATATTTTTACCTCGTTTTTCTCTTTTCCTTTAATACATAATTCCTCATTTTTTGTGACACTTTGATGTGTATAACTATGAATTCCCACAAGCAGACGTTTATCAGTTTGCCTTTTTGTGTTGTCACTACTTTTTCTGTTTTTGCTACCACTTCCACCACCAACCACCACTACCACCACCACCACCACCACCACCATCACTGTTACTTATCAAATCTTTCTCACATTGTCTGTATTCTGTTTAACAAGTAAGTGCTTGCGGACTGCGAGTTTCGATTAATATATTTTTTTCGCCCGTGTGCTTATTGTGTATATTATTATTATATGCGACATCCAATCTTTTTTGTGGTTGTGATTCTTAAAAGTGTCCTCCACAAACGAAGAAAGAAAAAGATATGAAAAGCCAAAGCCAGCCGTTGTGCTATATATTCGGCGTCAAGCAATTTGCATCGCCATTATTTGTCACTGCGGCATTTATTTGTCACATCTATCTTATATATATATATATATACATATATACATACTTATATATATATATTCCTGTTACGTTGTTCCGTTTTCTTTTTCTTTCTGTATCACCTACCGCACCTTGTGTCTCTTTGTGATCCTGTGTGTGGGATACAGTCAATATGTATCGCTTTTCTTCGATGTTATACAATCTTCTCTGTGTGTTCCTCGGTGTCTCTGTCGAGCGAGACGCTATAATGGGGCGCATGTTCGGTAACACACACAAATTTATACTCTCCCCGTTCACGCGTGACAAAAAAACCAAAAAAACGACCGGCCGTCCCCGCGCGGTGGCGGCCGGAACTCCACGCTGTGTCGTTGTTGTGTTGTGCCTTCGCAAATTCACGAGAGACACGTTTTGATGGCTTTGGACGAGGAACGTTACGATTACAATCGTTTTGGCTGCCGTCATACGCTTCTTTCGATTGTCTCTCTCTCTCTCTTTCTCTCTCTATCGTGTTAACTTCTCTTTGTGTGTGTGCGCGTATGTCTTTTTCTCTCTTTTATGTTTATTTCTGATTTTTTTTTTTTTTTTTTTTTTTAATAATCTTTTCTTTTTCTTTTTTTGTTTTTTTGTTTTTTGCTCAACTTTATTTAACGTGTTGCATGTGTACGTGTAATGTGTGCGTTCGGAGGCGCTCGTCACAGTTGACCGAGCCCGCGCTCAAGCTTTCGGAGTTTCTGACATGATCATATATCGACGCTAAATGCGGTGTGCGCGCTGCCCGTTTCCTCTCGATATAACACTGTGTTCCCGGTAACATTGGTTAAAGTTGACTGAGGTTTCATTGATTTCCAGTTAGGGTTTCACAGTCCCAGTTTCTAGGCTCCGGTGTCATTTCCGATCCCGGCTTCACCCCTACGAGAAGTAGGTGCTCGAAAATCAATTAAAAAAAAAATCCCAGTTAACGTTAACTAACGTTTCCACGAAACGATACGCAGTTCCCAGTTTTAACGCTCCATGAGTATTTTTCTCTGTTTTACTTTTTTGTTGGATGTTTCGCGCTTGCCTGTGTGTGAGCATCGTTCTTTTATTTCCGGCACACGACTAATTTCGGTCGGTCGGATTTTTTTCTTTGTCTAACAATTAATACGAGCAATTTGCTTATCCGCTTCCTTTGTCTGTTTTTTTGTTTGTCCGTTTTTTTTTCTTTTCGTTTGTTGTTGATGACTGCAGTGTGAGCGTTGCTGTGATATTACTGATTAACAGAAATGATGTTGTGTGTGCGATGCATATCGCCATAACGTTGTGTTACTGATTGTTGGCGCGCGTGTAAATCTGTATTATATTTTGTAATTGCGCGTTTCTAATAAACGCGCACATGTCGCAGGCTCCGCCAAAAAACGTTGTTGTTCCGTACAAAATTCAACGCTTTATCGGATTTTTTTGTATTTTTCTTTTTTTTTTTTTTTTTTTACCAAATTTGCGAAAGGCCTGCGGCATGCATCACACACATATTGCATTGTGCGTTCCGTATCGATGCGAAGCGATGTTTCGCCAAATTATTTTTCACGTCCGTAAAAAACAACGAGACCGCGCTCTCGTGCGACAATATGTCTCGAATTTGGCATTGTCGGTTGTCGAGTCTTTTTAATAATTGAATTGTGTGCTATCAAATATATACAGTCGATTATCGACAACATACGTCCGCATTTTCTTCAAAAATTTGAAGCGACGCTCGATATCGATTGACTCTCCCGATTCGATTTTTCTTCTTTCGATCTCTCTCTCACAAAATTTTTCTCTTTTGCTCGACAGAGAAATCATCTCTGCTTCCTCTTTGTAGGTTTTTTTTTTTTACATCGTCAAAACGAAAACGCGAAAAAATAAGAAAAATTCTCGTAAAGAAAAGCAAGGGAAAAAAAAACACACAATCCCGCTATTATTACCAGATACGAAAATTGAGAAAAACCGCATAGAAAGAATCAAATTAGCGAACGCCGATGCAATCCACGGCAAAAGAATGTGCTAATTGCGCGCGCCAAAACAAAAAAAAAAAAAAAGTAGTGTTTATTAGCGAAGGTGAGAAAAACCGAGACTGATCGTTTATAATTTATGGTTTGTTAGCCAGCGGAACCCATTCGAGAGACTGAGGTTTAACGGGGCGGCAGTTTTGCCCGCCGCTTTATCCTGTCGGAGTACAAACAAGTACGTAGCTCATGTAGATGAAACGCCTGCCGTACATATATAATACGTTGTTATAATCATCAGAGAAACCCGCCAATATATGCGCGTGTACGCATTACATATTACCTTACTACTACATACAATATCGTCACGACGGATCGTCGACGTACGTAACACGTGTGCGTGCGCACAGCACAGTCTAATCCTTCGCGTCTTCATCTCTCTTTGTTTCAAATCAAATTTGACATTTGACGTTTTTTTTTTTTTTTTCTTTATTTTGTTGAGTTCGGATCTTTGTTTCAAGAGCGCGCGAAAAAATACATACGACGACTCACATATGTAAGAATAAATATTTATATATATTTATGTATTTATATTTAATATATTTATATTTTATACATTTAATACATGTTTTTTATGTATATAATTTTTATATAATGAAATATATAATCACATTGTTATCGAGAATAATGTTTTCTGCGCGTTTGTGAAAACACGTCAGAAATTAAAGTCCCTTTTCTGGGACTCTCGCGCTTTTGTTACGCGCTGCGGATCGCTACGAATCAATCGCAAAATCTCACGAGCAATGTGATTGAAGACTCATTGATCCCCGATCAATGATTACGATGATTACGCTCTCGTCTTATAGCTCGTGTTTTTTTTGTTTTTTTTTCGGTGCGATGTCACGACGGCGACGATTCGAGATGCACGGATATTTTATACATTGATTGAACGATGCGTTACGTCACACTAATGTGTTTTCTTTGTGTAGCCGGGGGGTGCGGGTCGCGGTCGGTGGGCTTCCCCCGTCCATCGTGTTCGGGAACCGAGATTATTACCCGGCAAATCCACCGGCCCGGCCGCACTTTCTTTTTCTCAGTAGTATATAGTGTCTGAGTGTGCTGTGTGTCTCCGTGTGTCCTCGGTGTCCATTGTCCACCCCCTGTCCTGTTCGTCGGCCCCCTCTGTGTGTAAGTTTCGATTTCGCAAAAATGATTTGTGTGTGTTCGTTGTCGGGTGCGGAACTAAAGAGTGTCGTATATATGTTTTTTTCTAACTGACATATGTTATGTTTTTTTGTTGTTGTTTTATTTTCTTTTTTTTTTTTTTGTTGGTAATATCGCTTGTTGGTTTCGTTCATGAATTATTGATTGTGGACATGATAGATCGTGGTGGATCGCTGATTTTCGTCGGGGTATGACATTTTTAAAAAGCTTTGATTTTTCACCCGTCTTTTTAAGAAAAACGACAAACAAATGCTTTCTCCGCTTCTACCAGAGTTGATCGATCATACCGATCGATCAGATCAGCGCGGTAGGGACATCAAGAAAAAGACTGGCTCGTGTGCGTGGGGTTTCGACTTTTTTTCTAGGTGAGAGGTGTCGATGTCGTAGTAACCCCCTCGATGATTGAGCTAACACGTGTCAGTTGTAGAACTCGATGGTGTGCTTGTTCATGGTTCTAAGAGGAAGAAGGGTTATTGTATATGAAGTAGCATTGCTGCATCGTGCGCACAATCCTACTCTCACGTGACGGTATCCTTAATCCCGATTGTTTTTGGATTAAAAAAAATCGGATGATTAAAAAATTATTAAAGAGATCTGAATGAATTTCTGATAAATCGGCAAAATTGGCTGTACGTTTTGCGCGCTTGTTTGTTATTATTTATATATGTTTGCTTGAAAATTTGCACTTGTTACGCGCAAAATTTCTTTTGGCGAATATTAATTGAAAATGCAAGAGAGTTTGGGACACCTCGACTCTCTTATTGAATTATTTTTTTTTTTTTTTATCTTGATTTTATAAAAAGAAAAACTCTGTTGCGGTAGCGTTCGAAGCTTTCCGCAAGTGTGACAGAGTTGGGAAATACCGACGAGGAATAATCCTTCTGTGATAGTTTTATGTAATTATTTTTGTGTATTTTCTTAATATATTGTCGAAAAGAAACACTATTTAGTCACAGAAAGTGAAACCATCACATCCGGTTTGTGTCCCCATTGTTCCCTTCTGTTAGTGTGCGTGTGCGTGCGTGCGTGTGTGTGTGTGCACGATTGGTCAATTTGTGCATCGATCATTTTGTTTTTCTGTTTGTCTGAGGTCTATATACATATTATAACACCGTTGTTTCGTACTAAATGTCAATTAGAGGAATCTAACACATTACACCATGTTGTCTGTGTTGGTTGTAACAAAAAAAAAACTTTGGATCGCTAATGATCGAATAATCGTCGTGCGATTGTCGGCATGCCTT